ATGGAATGCCCTTGTGAGATTTAGGGCGGCTACCTACCAAATGCTTCGTTTACCCACATCTACACCCCTCAGATGGGTGTGCAATTATCATCGCTCAATGGCGAATCACAGGCAAGCTCCTCATAACCCCGCTCTTCCCGATACGAGGGTTGATCGAAATTCCCATTCTTCTTGCTTCGGCCTTTACTTCAATGATACGGATGTCGTCGTCACTTCCTTCAGTGGAAAGGGGCGGGACTTTGGCTGGCTGGCAGCCGATTATAGCATTCCGCCTCAGGCTACATACGGACAGCGGCAGACACACGTACTCATGCACAGCTATAGGATCGTTCGGCTGCTGCTTGTACTGCTTGCTGCCGTCTGCATATTCGCAGGTGAGTACGTTCAATTACACCGTAGCTTACTCTACAGCCTTTATGGGAGGGAGCCAGAAATTCCCGGAGAACCTCCTTTTCTACCAATTTTTCCTCTAATCGCTACTACTAATGAATGGACTACTTGTTTTTCCCATCATCAATTACCGACTATTCTGCCATGATGATGAATTTTGAGGCTGTTTTCGTGATCGGAATAAGAACCGAAGACGAGAATCGTCTATTCGTACATAGCAGTGGTCCTTGAACAATGACGTGTGGTCATCATCATTGGTGACAGCTGATGTCAGGGTTCTGTAGCCCGGAAAGGGCAATGTGATCCCGTTCTTGATAATTAAACAGTGAATCTTGTCACCTGATGATGTATTAGTTGAGAAAGCTGTCAGGTGGTTGTCTTCAACGTAGACCAGACGAAACCTCTTCTATACCGTATATTAGAGGGATAAAAACTGTGGCTTCATTAATTTTGAACGAAATCAACAGAAACCTTGCGTTTTCCCATTGGCTCCAACATAAACCACATAGCAACCGATAGCCGAGGAGCTTGCAAAAGATCGTTGAGTGTCACTATGCATTGAATACACTTCATTTGACATTCTAATTGAATGAAGGGATGACTTTTTGCCCTATTAGGTAGCGCTTATCGAAGGCCAAACAGGGAGAGCTCAGAGCTTTCTTAACCAGGCATAACGAAGAACAATCATGACGGACCCGCAGCCGCTTTTTGGGACGTTTTACTACCTTTTCCCTAAGGACAGTGCTTTGCACTAGTTGGTGTGCCCTTCATATCATGTACAACAATTCCTTTATGGTTTCCACACATCTATGAAGAAATGTAAAGAAGCCATTGTAAAGCAATTCGTAAACACTCTAAGGTAAATAACAACAAGTCTACAAAAGTGGTACAGTAATAAAGACCAACTAACCGTCGCAATCAAAAGAAGAAACCATCAGTCAAAGTAGCTGAAGAAAGGAAAGGTTCTTGGTCCTATTATACTGTTAAAGGA